GTAAGCCTGAAACCCCCTGTAATGTCAGTGAATCATGATTTAAAACCTTTACATTCTCTGAAATAGCACGAGTTCTTAGCAGGACCTTTACACTTCTTTTTCCAACCCCTCACTCTCCAACACTCAGTTTTCTCTTCCATCCTTCACAATCCTTTTTCTTTTCCTCCCTGTCCATACCCACATGTGAGCACATGAAACATTATCCTAAGCATTTATGATTTTTGTCCATGCCACAGACAATGGTGACAAAGTTAAACCACTCTTCCAAAATCATCAGGCAGCTCTCATCTTTGCGACATCTTAACTTCCACTTTTGTTCACAGCTGTCTTATTTTAAAGACCGCTGTGAAGGGGAAAACACTTTTATGGCAAGCAGTTGGAGCACACTCGGGGAAGAAAGCTTCAGAAACTTCAGAGCATGGCTGCCAGGGATGGCCAGCAGCAAGCTGGGAGCCAGGAGCTCCTGCAGACAGACTGCTGTGAGTAGAAGGAGTAAGCCCACCAGATATCCAGCACAGAAAAAAGTCTTCCCAGGACGCAAAAGGGACCAGGAAGGACTTGCTGCCCCTTGAACTCACCTAGGTGACTCTCACAAGTAGCAGCACATGACCCCACCTACAAGGGCAGAGTGAGCTGAACTGACAAGTCCTTTATTAATTTCTACTTGGTTTCTATGAAATTATGTCATTTCTACTAGCAGTGACTTTGAAATTCCTTCCCCTCTTCCTCCTCTCCCTGTTTAAAAATAACAATTATTTGTATTCTAAGAAGATCTGACATTTCTAGGTGTAAAAGGCTTATAGTCATTTTGGGGATGCTTGCAATGAGATTGAAATCAGAGCCTTGGAACTCTGGCCAGCACTGAATCCTCTCAAAAGCATCAGCACCACCAGAAGTTAGAAGTTCTCATTTTTCAGAGAGTGATGGATCTTTATTCTGGGAAAGGCTTTTGTTACAGTATTACAAAATAGGCACACACAAGATAACGAAAGCCACTTGTCACTTCTGAAAACTGGCTGTTCGGACACTGCAGTGAAACCAAGAACCACTAAATTGCTTGCACTAAGTAAAAGCAAATTTTTCCCCGATGATAAGAAAAATGTAAAATCTCTTTTTTTTCTTCCTACCCTATCAGGTATCTGCCTGAAGATTTTTCAAGTTATGCTGTTCAGTTTCGGATTTGGAGAAGTCAGATTTACTCTGAGATGAACCTTAGTAAAAATTTGGTAGCTTTTGGAAAATCTGTTTGCTTGCATTTTGGTAGCTTTTGGAAAATCTGTTTGCTTGCATTTTGGTCAAGCTCTCCTTTTGGCTTTGAAACATTTTCATAAGTGCTCTGAAATCTGTTACTCTGCATTAAGCAAAATTGTATAAAATAAAAGCTTCTGGAATAAAACGTTTATTATATCAGCAGTGCTTCCTACATTATCCATTGCTAACCTTTTCCTGTTGTGCTTCACATGGTGAAATGGTAAAAACTGAGAAATCTTAGTCAAAGAATAACATCAGCTCCTAAACCAGAAAAAGAAACTCTTCCTGTCTCGACCCAGTCCACGTGCTTCACCCAGACAAATGTGTTAAGAAGGGATTTTCCCTTGAACAAGCATGTCAGCCTCAACATTTTGCCTTGTTCAGTTAGTACAAACTCTAACAGGAAAATAACAGTGCAAATTTGAATGTGTTCCTTAATATGTGGGAACCAGATAAAATTAGAGCAAGATGTGGCTTCAGAGTAAGTACAACATCACACAGCTTTCTGTTTCAGGATTTCCTTTATCCATTGTTTTCCTTCATCACTAATGAGACTAACCACAAGGACATGGCTATTTAAGTGCTTGCAAACTCAGGCCTGAAGATAAAAATCCAATTTCATGATACTCTAATTGGATAACAATTTATACAAGTAGCAAACAGGCTATTTTGAGTTTTACAACATAATCGGTGCAAGAACAGACAGTCCTTTATTTCTTTATTTCCTTTCTCTCTTTGCACCCAAAAGAGTTCAAATACTTGGGAGTCTGGTATTCTTGAGCTACCAATTGATCACATAAAATATACAACCTCTGCCAATAATCCTTACTTTACTTTATGTTGACACACTGCTGAATTTAATTGCTGTTCTTCCTTTCCCATCTGATATTTTTTATCATCCCTCCCTTTCCCCAGAAAGCATCCTTCTTGTGTATAAAATCTTGATTAAGCCATACATACACTGAAAACACTGCATGAGTACTTTTAGTAACATCAGTATTTTGATGCATAATGTTCAGTCCAATTTATTTCAGTTGAATATAATCAGCTTTATATTTAAATTTGAAAGTGAGACGTTTTTATGTTATGAAACACATTTCTTTGATTTCTAATATTAAAACAGTAAGTTGCTTGATCCCTTTGGCCTTGAATTTCCAACTCTAAAAGGGAAAATAAGGAACCCTTTCCCTCCTGAGTCAGATAGGCAGTTTCACAGACTACAGCTTTGCAATCCTTGTTCACGTACACTCCTGCTATACATTGCAGCAGTAAGTAAATGATGTTGCAGAAGAAAAGGGCAATAGGCAAGTAGATATGAATTAGAAATTGTTAATTGCTTTCATCAGTAAAGATTTCATCATGTTTCTGTTTTTCTTTTTTGTCTGTAGCTCTAACAAAAGTAAATATATTTTGTTATAGTGAGAAGAGCTTACATCAGTGTAAAATACTGATGCCATGCTAATGCCTCACCTCTTTTTTCAGCTTAAAAAGGAAACAGTTTGTTCACCTAGGGAAAGTACGTACAAGGACACAGGCACTCAGTCCCTTATATGAGACCAATAGACCTTATGTGGGTGTCAAGGACCCCAGAACACCAAAAGGCTCTTGCAGCCTGCATGGACTTCATTGTTTCCTCATGCATTTTGCTCTCCAGGAGCAGGAAAACATAGCATCACGATAAGCCAGAATTAAACTACTACAGATGAAGGAACCATGGAGGGAAGAAAGTGCAAAGAATTAATCCTGTCCATTCTGCAGAACCAGGTTTTCTCTCTCTCAGATATTTGCCTTTAAAATCACAATAAATATTTTTATGGAAAAAAATATTGGGGGGAAAAAAAAAAAGGAAAGAAAGACAAAGGAATTTGTTTACAGACACTTCCAGGTAACATTTTCAAAACTGCTGTGGGCTCAGAAGGAAATGTCATTCTACAGCATGCAATTCATACTCTTTACTCCAGGATAAATTACGAAATGAAAATAAAAATGGCTTGCTTGCTCTGCCAAATAACTTCCTAATAGAATGCTAACACTATAGTGAGGGATACACTCGTTTCATTATCATCTTTTTCCCAATTCCTACATAAAGAATTTAGCACTCATTTTAAGTCTAGATCACCATCTCATTTCACAAACTGATATTTTCTTTTTCCTTTTTTAATGCCATTTTAGAGTGTTCATAATTGAAAGGATAATAAATTTGTGTTTTGGAAAATAATATATTTAAAAAAAAAAATGATCTGGCACTCCTAGTTTCTTATACTGAAGTTGCTGGAGCTTATCACAGTTGTCAAGCTGTCATCTGAAGTGCAAGTCAATAAGCACACAAGTGAAAACCACTTTGACTTAAAAATACAAATAATAAATAGCCAACATATTCCTAGCGTGGAAATATCTTGAACTTTCTTCTCTTATCTACATAAGCAACACACACACATCTTCCAATGGGAAGTGCTTTAAATGCAAAAATATTAAAAAAATAATACGGATGGAATACCACAATGATATTCTGCGGGAAACACTGAAACACTCTACAGAAGTGGTTGGGACAAGTACATCCTTTCTTTTTCTCCCTCACGCCTCCAAATCCATGCCTGCATCTCCTGTCAGAGAGGCTAACATGGGGACTGTGTGTTTCCACAGACCATTTGTAGTTTGCTGTTCTGACCAATAATTTCATAGTTTAATGCGAGCCGATTCTACTGTCAGATCTGTCTTCTGCTTCACCTTTTTATTCATCATTGGGGCTGGGAATCCCCATTCCTCCTCCTGGCTTCTCTTTCCCTGCCTCTAAACCCACTAGCCTGACCCTGTGGCATCTCCTTAGCTCCTAGCCCTGTGGCTCTGCTCCGTTTCTTGCCCTGAGGTCATGAGTCATTTTGGAAATGGCGGTTTACATGTGAAAAGAGCTATGTGTAATTCTGCATTTCATAGAAGAGAGTCATCTCTCCTTTACCGCCTCATCAATTTCCTGTATCACACAGAGGAGCACTGCCTTCAGAGATTTCCTTTTCCTGCTGGTGCAGTAACACAGGCAGGTAAGTGTGTTGTCCTTTCTCACAGGGAGCTGCCATTCACAGCTTCATCACTTCACTCTTCCCACACCTCTATCTCCTTCCTTTCCCAGATTGCAGAAAAGAAGAATTTCCTTTTCACCTCCTATTGCATGATAAAAAGCAGCTTGCTGTTTCAGAGTAAAGGACCGAAACCTCGAACAAGTTTCTGTCATGCTTATTAAGTGCTGCTTCACTGCAAGCAACACAGACCACCTTGGCAGGTGACTTACAATTCTCCATTTATAATACCACAGAAACGCAAGTTTTAAATTGCATTTTTCTCCTTCAGTGCTTGCTTCTTATTTATCTAAATGCCATGATAGATATCCCAAAGATCTATCTTCCTCACATATCTTCACATCCTCCATTAAATCAGAGCTAACAAACACAGCAACCATAAGAAAATGTTAGTGCTCTTGGTGTGCACAGTTTTGCACAGCTGGCTACACAGGATGGTACTTTGGATAATCAGCAGTTTTAGGTGACCTTTTAAAACACTATAAAAAGCATCTTCTCACTTTGTCTTCTTCACAGCAGAAAGTAGTAGTATCAGAAAAATACATTGCAAATTCAGTGTATCATTTTAGAAATTATAAAAAAAAAAAAGTCCTGCATAACCAAGTCACACAAGGAAATGTTGCCTGGATGTTCTTCCCTCACAGATAAACAACTGCAAAAGGAGTCTGCATTTACCTTTAGGGAACACGAAGCTCTCTGATGGTTCGGACTTTCTTGGGCAACAGCTTCAGGGTCCTCATGTGATGTGAAAGTGCTACTCTTCTCTATCAGGTTTCTTATTTCAGCATCAAGCTCTTTACTTTCACACCTGCTTAAAAAGAGATAGCAATATGATGCTTTGCAGAGGAACTAGAAGCACAGAAAAAGTAAATTTGTCAGTTGTCATCTTAACGTGACAAGACACAGCAGAGCTAGTCCTGCACTGAGCTCTTGCTACCTTCCTTCCTGGTGCATAGCGAGCACTCAAGCAGTCTCACACATGCAATCTGTAAGAGCGTGGTGGCAGAAATCCATTTAAAATATTTAAACAAGCAGTCCTTATCGATTTTACTACCTTGTGTGTAGAAATCCTAGTCAACCCTTCTGGGGATTTTTTGCAGACTTCAATGCACCCTCATCCCCACCCACCCCCAGTTTCTAGAATGTTAAAATTCATCGATATCAAAAATGCTATCATAACAGTTAACTTGGTTTTAAACTCCAAAACTAGATGCTCAGTTAATGATCTATTTTTCATTGTACATTTCATTTTCTGTAATATTTCATAATAGACACCTGACATGCATTTTCATTTTTTTCCCCTGCAAGTTCCTACTAAAAACATTCATACCTTATAAAAATAGGTCTGTTCTGGATACTAAAAAGATACTTGTTTTCTGGGAAAACCATTATCTTTCAGTCTCTGCTAAGGACACTCAGGACTTAAGTCCACTTAGTGGCATGCTCCAAATTTGCAGAAGGAGATAGCAATTAGGGCTGACTCATTAAATACATCGTAGTTGTGGAATGTGACTTTCAGGAACATAATCAAAACCAAACCACCAAAACCCTAGACCCAACCTAAGTTTTCAAAAAAAAAAATACTTCTCTCTTTTGGTAATTTAGACTTTTATTTCCAAATCAGCTTAAAACAACTCCAAATATATATTGTATGTGACCAGAAAGCCAACAGCAAGGCTTGGAAGTATTAGCAATAAGGATATGGCAATGTCACATCTCAATTTAGGCAGAAAATACTAAGTCCGTCATTTGAACTACCAGAAAATTGAAAGCAGTTAGAATTTACTGGTTACATTTATCACAGTTCAGACAGACAATCCACAGGGATCGCACTGCAGGTTCTGAGGAAACTGCTGAGAGGCTAATAGCAACATTATCCAATAAACAAACCCATCTATCCTAATCATAAGACTAAATAAATGAAGTGAATTTTGTGCTGAGAGGATAAAATGACGCATTTTATTACACTTGCTATTTACTCACAGAGCCTTTAACAGGAACATATTGCATTAAGCATGGATGCAAAGTCATCTGCAGAGGAACTGCAGCAACATTCCAGCAGCAGGAAACAAGGACAAGGAAAACTCAAAAGGTTGGATTTGATTTGCTGCCCAGGAGCTGGACAAGCTGGAACAGCATTTGCAGAGTTGTCATGAACCCTGCCTGCACCATCAAGCACAGAACCTGAGACAGGATTATGCAGGGCGAGCTGGTAGCAAGTCACTCTCAGTTTTAGTGCCCGTCAAGCGTCCTGCCCCTTCAAACTACCTTGTCTATGTGGAGCCAGGATGAAAGGAAGAAAAGTTTTAATGGCAGGATATTTGGGTGTGTTTTGAGAGCTAGACTTACAGACAGAAAACAGGACTTTTGGCCCTGTGAAAGGTCCTCGTTCACCAGAGCACATCACATGAGTTTTCTTCTATAGAGAAAGATGCTTCCTCGTCCTAAGCTTTTTGTTGTTGTTTGTGTTAAACCAACACGTTTGCCAGAGCGAGTTCAAAGAAACAAAGCACCCAACCAAAAAGAGCACTGTGTTTTGTCAGACCCCTTTGAAAGGGAATTATGGCCAGCTACAGGCACACTGAGCAGGAGAAAGACTTCCTTGGTGCACGTCTCCATAAGCCTCATGGGCGTGCAGCAGGCTGCAGCTGCTCTGAAAGCCTGCGGTGGTTTCAAAGCCTCCGTGCTGTGGGGGCGGCAGACGAGCCCGGGTGGCACAGGCTCTGCGTGGCAGCTTGTGGGGCTGCTCAGCTTCCCTTTCACTTCTGGTCTGAGGGGATACGCAGGGCTTCAGGCAGTCACAGGACCAAGGAGCCACACATCTTTTCAACACAAATACTCACGAAGCAAGAGGAAAACTAGAGAAGGAAAACAAGGGAGCTTGAGAAAGAAATCCAGCCACCTTCTGTCTTTCTGAAAAACTGCAAAATCCTGGATAGTTCCACTTGCACTGGTCTTCTTTAACCAAATGTGTGCTGAGCTTCTCGAACAGTAGGTTCTCAGGAAGCTGCAAGACCAACAGCTGAGCTTTGAGGCTTCAGCCTTAAGGAGATGCATAATGCCAACTCAGCAACATCAGTAACAACCACCCTTTTCTCTCAGGCCTAGTTCCCTGAAAAACAGCAGCTTCAGCTCATTCAGACTCCTGCACCTGACCTAGCATGAGCCCTGCTTTGCACAACAGATTTGGATATACTCTGCACAGAGAACTGAGGGTTTGAAAGGCTTGGGAAGTTACAGCACAGAAGAAGGCACCTGTGGTGTGGTTTTAGGAAAAGTGCATTAAATGATATTTGCATAGTAAGGGAGAAATTGCTGCAACTGCTCCCTTAGAAGCCCTAAAAATGTGGCAAAAGTAGGGGAGAGGTTAAGTAAAGCGAGGTTACTGAGCAGTATTGAGGGATTTAGGACATAGCTGTTAAAACCACAGGCTGATATTTTCAGAGTGAGCTGTCAAAGCTTCAGTTTTTTATCTGCTTGGACAGCCAACCATCGGTGAGAGATAGCTGCTCTTCTCTTCTTTTGCTCCACACACCTCCTGTGTGAGATCAGTACAGCAGCCAACTTAGCTGAGAGAAAAAACTCTTGCCTACAAGTGGCTTCTCATACAGACTGTTTTTTGCTCATTGCCCAGGGTTGCAGTCACATGTCCTGCTCCAAAGAGCTTAAATGTACATCATCCACTTCCTACCTTTCACTACCTCTCCACTGCAAATCACCATCCTTAACTGCTGGCACAACCCACACACCTGGCTGGGTCAGAGTAGTCAGCTCAAACCCTTTAAAGTGAAATAAAGCAGCTTAGAGTAAACCAACTGCTCAAGAGAAAGGAGCAGTTCCTAGGTGCAGCTCTGAAAAAAGTAAAAGACGAGCAGCAATCTCTGGCAGGAGTGCAGTTGCGAGCACCGAGGCAGGCTGCACTCATCTCTGCTGCTGGTTCAGCCACAGCGAGAGGAGGTGTCTGACCACAGCCTCCCGAGATCAGAGCATGAATCAAGCTGGGAAATCCCCCGTAAAGATGGTGGGAGGGCTTTAAGTATTTCTTTGCAGCCAGGAAGTGTTCATTGCTCTGCTCCCTGCAGTTTGTCTAACTTCAGGCTGTACCTGGTATTCACCTTGGGCTCTTCCCAGGCTTAGCAGTATCTAAGTACCCCCTCCCCCCCCCCCCCCCCAGGTTTTAGACTGAGGTGTTTTGATCATATATTAAAAGAGTATTAGCCACTTTGATATTTAGAAGGGTACATTTATTTATTGTGAGGTATGTAAAATGTTAATCATATCTGTAGTACACTTCCATTTTACAGACAGTACATTCAGAGCACACAGATATCTGAGTGCTTGAATACCTCTTTGTGATAACAGTGATCAGGAGCTACCACAGAAGACAATTCTCGATGATTACCTGAGCTTCCCCTGGTAAGCTCTAGAGGGCACACAGCATTTAACTTCCACAGAAAGCAAGTCTTCCAGAACTACTTTTGGTTTTGTGAAGTTCACAGACGTGTTTCTGCACCATTACCATCCTTATTATGTTGCATCATTAACAACATTTCCTAAAATCGGGTATTTTGATTTTCACTAATTATGCTTTTTTAAGGAAAGAAAAAAAAAAATAACCTTTTGGAAAAGTCATTAAACTGAAACCCAGTCAAATTTTAGAGATGCATGCTTTGTAAAATCTATCATTAGAGAATGTTAAAAAAAAAAAAGAAAAAAGAAAAAATCATGCACTGATATGGGGCAAAGTATATCCCTTCTATGTGTAAAAATTTTCTTAAGTATAAAAATAGGAAGAAATAAAAAATACACAATACACTATTTATACATTGTACTACAATTAAAGCAGAAGCCAATTAAAAATTTAGAATATTAACACTTTGTAAATTTTGACTGACTTCCTCAGTTTCCTCTGCTGGGATAATTAAAACATTTGACATGGAAGCAGCACCTACAGATGTAACAAAGGCAGCTGGTTGCTCGATGTAAATTTTAGCAGTTTGCAGGAAAAGGAGAGAGCACATCTATGCTCATAATTTCCATATCATACATGAAAAGTAGTACTCAACATCATTCTACCTGTGTCCTCCAAGAATAAGAAATTCCTTAGGTCTGTCCTCTTCCTTTTGAAAATTGCCATTCAGGATTTCACTGTTTGAGATCAGCTGTGCATCCGATTAAAGATATTTTCATTTCCCCTTTGTATTCACCTTGCTGCCGTTAAAGCATTTTACTTTTTTTGCTCTATGATACATCTTCATGCTATTTTAATTCCTAGGCTTTAACAGCTTTTTGTGGTTAATTATTTATAAATGGTTGCATACTTTTTATAGCAACTCAGTGTCTCAGCTGGGAGCCAGAATAAAAGTGTGACCAGCATATGCTTTGTACATGACTGGAACTAAAATTCCCATGTAGATCAATGTCACGCAGTTAAAAAATAAATAAATAAACAAACATGCTATTCTGTCCTCAAAGGGCTATGCTATGAAGCTGTGGTTATACGTGCACAGCGAGTTTTATTAAATTACGCGTTTAACGGCCAAAGCAAAAACCTATCTTTGGCCCAAAACTATCACTAAAGCTGGAGCCTGTTATGGCACCAGAGAAGAAACGTGAGATGTGGAAACCATCAGCTCCCAGCAGAGCCAAGGGCACTTTGCAATCAGGCTTCTCCGCGTCAAGAGAAGAAGCATGAGGCAGAACAACTCCACGATAACACACGTTTCCTTTACAGAGCAGCAGCCATTTCCAGGCCTGCTCCATGGTCTTTTGATGAGCCACACGCCTTGGGCTTGCCACAGCGTAGATTCATGGCCAAGAAATATCTGTTTATCAACCAGTTGGGTAGGAGCCCTGCGCAGAGTCCCAGTGCTGCTGTCGATACCATTTGTGAGCTCTTGGCTCTCCCTGCACTTCACTGGGAACCAGCAACAGCGGGCACACCTACAGCGTGTCTCAATGCATCTACTGCCAAATGCTAATTTAGTACTGAATGCATATAACTACTTGAAATAATAATTTCAAGGCTGGTTGCTGGATTCATTCACCTGTGATTGGTGAAAGCACAAATATAAACCATAAACAATCGTGGAAAAAGGTTTTAAGCCAGGATTTACAGCCAGATGCCAACACCACAGAGTCATATTTTGACGGGAAATGAATTCCAGAGTCTAGGAGTTAAACACATGCTTCATCCCCTTGGGTGGGCATTTTGGACCTCAGATTCTTGCTTTGCTAAGCCTAAAGAGCAGATTAATAGAAGGGTGTAAATTTCTGCATTTGAATTAAGGAGAACAAACTGGTTCGGATAAATTAAAAAATCATTCCCTCCAGCAAAGAAAAGCCATTTCAGCTAATATTTCCCCAATTTATGATAAAGCACTTAATTCATTTCAGAAAAAGGCCTTTAGAATTTGAGAAAGAAGAGAGCTGGGTTACAGAATTTGTAATCTAACCCATGCTAGAAATATATTTGAAATGGGAATAGAAATCAGGCAAATAATTTTTAAAGACTGTTTACTGCAGAACTAGGTTATTCTCTTATGTTGTATATGATTTTAAAGGATTTTTGTTCTCTTAATTTGGTTTTGTATAATTCTTAGTTTTTTTCCCTCTAAAGACCTTAGGATTTTTATATTAAAATCTTACCCACCTAAGACTAAATGGCAAAGAATTTCTGGTCTAACAAGCAATGGGATGCACAAAGTTTTAACAAGCAATGGGATGAACAAAGTTTTGCCATGAAAACAAGTCTTTTGTTACAGATTCTTTTTTTCAGCCTCATGAACTCTTGCAGCTTTTGTAAGCCGTTAACAAACCACCAGTTCCTGAGCTGACAAACAACACTTACAATCATGCAGCTCCCTAAGAATCGGTGGTGCCATTCCACTACTCAACACCTCACGAGCAGATCTCCTGAGCCTAAACTCTGAGTGGAATTTGAGCCAGGTCTCTTAAAATTGAACTGCATTAATTCTACATTCTGCCTCACACCCCCCACGGTAAGAGATGGTTTATTAGTCACAAAGCATACTGCACCAGTGCAAACACAAAAAGAACACCTGCCTTTGTCAACTGCGAGGATATAATTTAAAAAGAGAACAAAAAAAAAAAAAAAAAAAAGCTTCTAGAAATAGTTTTTTTTTCCAATCTATTTCCAACTTCCTTTTTTTAACTCAAATTTTACCCCCAAAAAATCACTGAGTATTTCAAAAGCATAGCTGGAAACCCAGCCACCAGCAGCAGCTGAGATCCACCTAGGAGACCTGCACTGTCTCTAGAATGAGAGCTCCCAGATGCTGTGGAAAAGAAAGTGCTGGCACTGTTACTCGGGAATTAAGTTTGAGATTAAAGATAATCTTGCCCCAGTCCCAAGAAGAGAGCTCCATAAGGCAAGGTGTATGATAGGGGGTTAAAACATGTATGTACTGAGACTAGAGCAGAGAAATGCTGAAACTTTCGCTCAAATGTGATGCAGCCAAAACATCTGCCTGTCACCCCATAAACGTCCCTACACTTCTGTTCCCTTTACGACAAAGGAATGGAGCTTTTAAGGAACATTTAATAGCCAGCAGCTGCTTGGCTGTCAAATGCCACATCTGGAGAAGCTGTGCCGTTAATGTGAACAGAAACAATTATTCTTTAATAGTTTTGCTTAATTTTAAGAATTACACAAATCACAACAACAAAAGAGGTGCAATGGAAACACATCTGGTTTCTCAGTAAAGAAGCCAAAAAAGGGCGCAGTGATTCACTGAAGCTGCATCTCTAACTTGTTCTGTCTCATTGAAGGAAGAAGTAAAGCTACTGATATCCAGGTACTTAGTGCTTTTCCAGCCTTTGGCTATTACCCTCAACAAATATGGGATGAGCAAAAAGATGCCAACTAGCTGGCTCACATTAAATGCCATTAGATGTCAGTTACTGCACAGCTCTGCGCCCCTCTGTGCGTGAAGGTTTGGGACTCTCTGGGACTGCACTTCAATAGTGCCTCCTCACTTCTGTACACCACAGCCTGCACATCAAGAAGAGAACATCGTTCCCCTTTCACTTGGATCTTCTGCTTAATTACACTACCAAAACCATAACGAAATTTCTTCCTGATGGACAGAAGTTGGGATGAGTTCAAACCCCTGGAAAGTCAATGAAATGATTTTCACTAATTTCGCTGGGCTTTAAGCGAGCTATGAGTGAGTTATTGCTTCTCCAGAGAGACAGTCATCTGTAATGGAGCACCCAGACTCATCACCCAGGGCTCATGCAACTGCGTGTGGATCGCTGGTGCAAAGGGAATTGAAGTTTTGCCATGAAAATCAACAAAATGGAAAGCTGAGCCAAGCAGAGCCACCGACTATAGCACGTGCTTTCTAGAGCAGATGAACTCCTCCACTGACATGCACGCATGCAGGAAGATGGTGGGAGATGGCAGGAAAGCATTGAAAGAACCAAAAACTAAGAGTTAACAAGATGGGAGACAAATCTAAAGCAGAGCAAAAATATTTTCAAGTGCCTGCACTTTTCTTATGAAGACCAATAGCCAGAAAAGCTTGAATCCCTTTTAGGACACTCTCCGAGCCCCAGCAGGTACCTTTTTGAAACAGTCACCCTCCCACAGCTCTTTCTAAACTGACTGCTCACTCCAGCGTGAGCACCAGGTGTCTATTCAGACCCTGCATGCACTCATTTCTGTGGAAAGCTGCAATCCTGATGCAATTTTATATGTTTGAGGTTTTTAACTGGTGCTTTACACCACCGATCTTTCTCTTCCTGAATCAGGCATCACCACAAACCAAACAAGACCTATGCACTGCCCCTTTTGCCTCTGAGCTCACCCTTGGGCAGGATGTCGATGCGTCACCAAGCCTCACAGATCTGGGTTCACAGCTGGGCTGCACCCTTGCAGGAAAACAAGTCCGTGATTCATTTGGGTCAGTTTCACCCCTGTGGACCTTCGCTATTTTCAGTTACCTACTAATAGTGCAGGCAGAACAAACAGGAGAACACCATTAGGAAGTTCAGCCAGGAAATTTAACTTACAGTAGCTGATGGAGGACAACCAGCCCTGTTAAGTCAAGCCAACTTCTTGCCTGTGGTAGCTGTTAGGCAGCCAAAATGAAACAGAGAGGAAGCTCGCTGCACAGCTGTCTGCGTCGCAGATCCAGGGCTTGAACTGCCAGCAACTGGCACCTGGTCTCACCAGGGATGCCAGCACCAGGAGGGAGCCTTGACACCTCCCTCCCCTCGCAGAAACATGCTGGAGTCAAACTACACTAGCAGCACACAACGTCTTGAATAAATGGGAAATCCCAAGGGATTTCAATGTCCAGTTATTTCTCAATAAACTAACTGGAACAAAAAATGCTTCTTTCAGGAAGAAAGAAGGGTAGAGTACTATTCTGTAAACTTCACAAAACAAACTACACTTTCCTTAAAAAGTTTTTTTTTTTATATTTTTTTCCTCTCTCATATATGCACATCATGCTTAATTCTAAAGCTATCTTTTAATCATTCTCAGCTACCTGGATTTTTTATTTATTTATTTTTATTTGGTCAGAGTTTGTCTTACTGAATACAGCTGTTCATCGAAATACTCAGCATCATTTGTTGTCTTAAATCTCCCCGTGACTCACCGACAGTCTTAGAAACGGGTCATCACAGTCACAGACTCACTGAAAGCTGTTAGCAATATTGTGACCTCTCTATCTGTATAAAGTATCTCTCCTTCCTACAGTGCAACCTCTTTTCCTGCCGTTAGCAGTAGAACTAGTATTACTCCACAAAGAAGCAACCAGCCCAAGGAGGTTGTGAAATCTCCATACTCAGAAATATTAAAAGCTTGCCTAAGCAAGCTGAGCAATCTGACCTCAGCCCTGCTGGTCCAGGTGACCTCCAGGTCCCTTCCAACCTACGCTATTCTGTGATCATGCTCTTCTCAGTACAAAAAAAAAAAAAAAAAGAGCCCATATTTCACTTGTTTAACCAGAACTGACACAGACCTCCACAGGACAGATTACAGTAGGGAAAAAATGTATTTGTCTGGGTCTCTGAAAGAGAAATCGACTGACAAATGCAGAAAATACTTGATTGTATAGTTCCAAAGCATAATGTAAATTAATTTTAAAATAAATAAATAAAGGGAGAAGCTTCTCCACATAGAGTTAAGATACATTACAGAATCACAGAATCACAGGATTTCTAGGTTGGAAGAGACCTCAAGATCATCGAGTCCAATACCTTTCCATCTCACCACACTGATGGAGACACAATTCAAGGAGATCCTCTGCCTCTTTATTCTTCCTTTTGAGCTGCTCAGAGTGAATCTGTTAGAAACAGAGAGGAAAAAATAAAGTACACTTAGAGGGAAACAAAAAGGTTAATAATCTAGGAAGAACAACTTAATTGTGTAATCACAAGAAGAAGAGATCATAACATCTTGTCTGCATTCCTGTTTTCTTCTTTATATACAATAAATGGCTTACATGTAGGCCAGGAATCTACTTTCTCCTTCCCACCATCATCTCCTCTTAAATCCACCACTCTAGCAGGGACAGTTTTGCAAGGGCAAGAGGACTATCACTCTCCAGCTGTGGTAGCAGGAATCTCCCCAAGGAGCAAAGCTGTCAGTAGCCACAAAAATACTGGAAGTGTTGTGAAAGGCTTTTATTATTATTCATCCTAAAAGAACCAACTATTTTAAATACTCTAGAGTTCATGTATGTCCTCAGATTGACCTGAAAATTCATATGCTTCGTGGAAGTATACAGTAAGACTATTACTCCAAATTTAAGAGAATGAGTAGCGAGCCTGATACAGATCACTTGAAGAGAAAAGAAAAGGAGGCTTGAGTAAGTTATTGTGCACAAGTGCATTGTTCAAGAACTATACAAGCTCCTAACAAGCTTCCTGCTCTTCAGGGCTAGTTACTGTCTAGCACTGCATTTCCAAAGAGAAGAAGGGAAAAAAAAAAACCACCCTTCCCAGACAAAAGGACACACAATGGGGTAACAGTCACACTACGTAGTTCACATATAAATAATTCTTTCAAATGAGAAGCCCAAACATGAAGAAAGCAAGCTGTGTATGTTGTGAAGTACCATCACCTCTACATGACGAGCGGGAGAACAGATGGCACAGGGACTGAGCCACTGCCACCTCACCCCCAGGAGCCGTTCTGCTGCCTGTGCTGCAGGCCAGGGACAGCACTGGGTGAGTTTCTTCAGGATACGTGGGACACCCCATCAGAAAAGGAGTCCAGAAGTGTTATTATACACTTGAGAACAAAGTGTCAAAGCCATTGTGTTATTATAGTCGTTGGTGTTAGAAAACTGGGAGATTAGAGCTTTATCATGACCTAAGAGATTTCATAATGCCTGGTGGAAGGATGACAACGTGACCACTGGAATAAAGCAGGAAGCGATCAAGAGTGGAACCTGCCATTTATAACCAAATAAGTTTTCAATTACAAGCCATTCTCTTTATTGGTAACATCAACTTAATGTGAAACCACAGCTGAACATTTTATAGAAACCATGCTGCTTCATCTACGTGCAGAGCAGAAATGTAAAATAAAAGTTTGCCAGGAGAAGATCTGAGGTGTTTGGCATTCCTCCCCTGCTTAATTCTCCTTTCCAGCAGACATTTCACACATTTTAAATGCATCTGGTAATCACTAATTACAAGGATCCTATTAAGAAAAAATGTAAATTCAGTTTCATATGCAACTTGATTCCAGCTTGTCTGAGTTTTATGAGTGTCTGTTTAATCATAACAAAAACATGTTGAAGTATGGAAAGCTGTATTCATTGGATTTTAATGGGTGCTGCAGACATTTGGTACTAATAAGAATTAAGCCTTATTTTGGGATGCCTACACTTGGCATTTAGAGGTCTAGCAAAATACCAATTTTGAAAAATGTTGACCTGGAACGAATACTCCCAACCTCCATCTAAACTAAAAATACATGAACACACTAAAATAACTGAACACACTAAACCAAATCTGGTCTGAAGAGGAAAAAATTAAAAAGATAAAAACACACAAACAAACCCACCACCACCAGAATTCAGAGCACTATTTAATCCCTAATGCATCCCACTGGGCTTAGACACTTCAGCATCCTCAGACCCGTATGCCAAGTTACGCACACTATGACATCCCCCATGCTGGAAAAATAAGCTGTGTTTAAGTGATGCAGGTTAGAACTGACAATAAAGAGGATTCCTATGCTGGTAAAGTTGATGCAACAACAAATAAAGAAAGCTTTGGGGAGGAAAAAAGTGAAGGACATGGAAAGATTCCTTGTGTGACTTGCTGGTTCTGCAGCAACAGATCAGTTCAGGGGGATGTGCCGGGGAGTGCTACAGGCCCCTGCGCTCTGGGTTCTCCGTGGCCCTGCTCTGCAAAGGAGCTGCTAAAGCTGACAATTCCCAAGTCGGTGCTTGGCCCAGCTGAAGACCCAGCTATCACAGAGCAGCAGTTCTCCAGAAGTCCTGCTGCCACCACCTGCTGGGGGTGGGGGGATCCCTCCCGCATGGCTTTGCAAAGTCCGTGGTACGCATCTCCTGACTCTTAGTCATATGCAGATTTTGCTGCATGCCCCACAGCACCGGGCACCCTGATTTAATATGTCTTTACCAGCCGGTCCAGCTACCAGAAGCTATTTCATGGTCATAGCACAGGAGTACATCCTCCCTCTTCTGAACAGTCCAAGCTGTGGGGAAAAGCAGACCTCACTATGGTGAGAGCTGGCGCGATGCACACAATGGAGCCCGGCACCTGCTTTGATTTGCCTCCGCTGTTCTCCAAACAAGTTTTGGAGACTGTGTTGATGCAGGGTAACGGCCTTGCCTTTCATTTCTTAAGGCTTTGTGCTGAAGTGTGTCAGTCCTGAAAGGTCTTTTATTCTTTTTTCTTTTTTTTTTCCCCCCAAATTATTTTGATTCTTCACAACAAAAAAAAAAATTACTGCAATGAATCCAACCTGTGTTGGCAGTGCAAATTGTGCTACATCTAAATCTTGTTACAAACCAAACAGGCATCTAGGTTATTGTACAAAACATGCACACTTTTATAAAAACAACTAGAAGATTTTACAACTACAGTATGCAATTTAATGCTGTAGGGTTTTTATTGGATCAGACAAATTGAAGCCAAGGTGGATAAAAATTCAGCTACTTCAAAGAATCAAGGCTACGTAGGAAATAGGGGAGGTTATAATGGTCATATAAAGGATTGCTCAGAATTACATAAATTTTCTGCTTTCTGTCAAGGCTTTTAAGAACAAGAATGCTCTGAAGTAAAACAGGATTTGTTTTGCTCACAGATTTGTGTTTTAGCCGCAATTGAAGATGTATCGTAAAAAGCATACAAAATTCCTTGGTGCTCTCCTACCAGATTTATCACTGCTCCAGCGATAATCCAAGCCTTAAGTGCTTCCTAAATATATGTGAACAGGACAAAAAAGCTCTTTTTGGTTGGAGTACTAATTTGTATTAAAAACAAGGAAGTTTTCCACATGTAGAAAACATATTTGGAAAGAAAAAAAAAAAAAACTCCACACAGAGCAACAAGAAGACTAATTCTTATAAAATAATAATTATAAAAAAAAAAAAAGGCCACACACGCACTCAAACTAGAGCTTCAAAATGTTATCCAAAGCACATTTCAAAAACATCTATATTGTGAATGTTAAACCTGCACTGCTCTCACTTTGCCTCCTGCCACATTCTTTTTCTTTCTCCAAATCCAGTGCTAGCCTAAGAGCATCCTATCTTCCTCAACCTTCATTCCATTTTCCCCAAACGCACTTTGTAATTCACTTGTTCCTGTGTTGTGCCAAAGCAGTATTTTGTGGGGATGCAGTGTAAGATGAATCTCAGAACTGAGTTGGCCTAAACAAGGCAGAAAAGGGAGAGAAGATTTTGTCACATTTCTCCACACACACAGTCTATCCAATGATTCAATTTAACTGAACACCACCATAAACTGACATTGTCTCAATGGAAGGAGCAGAAAACAGGTAGCATGCCAGAAAAAAAAAAAAAAAAAAAAAAAAAAAAAAAGAAGTAAATACTTGCAAACTAGGCATAAGGAACAAACCCAAGAATAAGTTACCTTTCCACTGAAACACATTTTTTGTAAAGCAAAAGATCCAGGACTAACCGTCACAGACAGGCCAAGTAAAATTACCTCACTTAAGTAATACCCAAATTGCAAAATAGCTCCAAAACAAAGTGGAACATATATAATCATAAATGCTGTTGATAAACAAGCCAGCAGGTTACACACTGTGTGTGGCTGTTGCGTAGGAGGGGGGAGGAAAGAAATGGATTATTACTGTAAATGTGATCAAAATGGAAGAGCAACCGAAGAAACAAATAAGCATTTGATGAAAAAGATCCTAAGCAACATATACGGAAACTAAATCGATACAGCAATAGAGACTTCAGGATTTTTTTTCTTGACCCATAACTCTGAGAAAGTCAAAAATACAACATAATATTTCTGTGACGTCTTCCTCCCTAGATAGTCCCATGTTTAATACTCGTAAATAGCACTAGTGTTCAGTGCAGCCAGCCTTCAACCAGCTATTACATGTCTTCCTGCTTTTGCATCCACGCTCTTTGCTGAAAATGCAGCTTCAGTCATGTAAATGCAGCACAAGAAAACCCACAAAGACAGCAAGCTCTGCCAGTCCTCTCCTCCCCCTGTTATTTCCTGATAGTGCTGAAACTTCAATATTAGACCTTTTCTAATCAAATATTTAAAGTCTGACATTTTAGTTGTGCGAAAAATAGAAAGTTGTTAGGTTCTTCAGCTGTCTTGCCCAATTAGATTCAGATAAAATGAAACTGGTACCTGCATTGTGTGCTGCAGGGAGATTTAACTCTGAATACTTAAAACTGATCTCCCCATTAAGCACAATTTTCCTTGGTTATGGTAGCAGTAGAGTCAGAAGAGCAAACATCCCCAAAAACCTAATTCACAGATGCCACAAATCTGTGATGTCCAGAACTTGATAAGCACTCTATTTAATTTCTTGAACTAATCTCAAACTGTGCAACAACTGAAATAAATCAAGACCCAAAACAACTGAAGGCTGTTGCAGTGGACCAGACTGAGGAATGAGGCAATTAAAGGCTGAACGCACTATTTCTACCCAGAACTAAAAGCCTGGTTTTCTGCACGACGTAGATGGGACTCTGGAGAGGCTCTGCGCTGCAAGCTGTTTGGCAGCAGTCCAGGAAATGCAAACGCACAGCGCAATCTCTGCATTCACTGTCTCGTATGGGAGGTAGCAGGCTGGTTTTGCACAGATAGGCAGCATCTGCCGTGCAGCTCTTTGGTCTTACAATAGGGTGTCTGAAAACGTTTCTATTGACACACACAAACTAGTTGAAGTAGTGGGTATAAATCCTGTTTTTAAGTACATGACCTGGATTGAAAAATCAATACATCACTTTTTTCTTACATTAAACCAGAATGGAAAACATTTTACAGACATAGTTATTTCTTCAGAAATTTGTCCATTTAACGATTTCTAAACATCTTCAGATTTAGATGTATTTCTTAAGATCTTCAAAGTGAATAAAATATTCCCATGTGAGTATAAACCCCTTCAAGTAGAAATCGACGGCACAAATATTACCAAAAGCAGCCAGGGTCATGCCCAGAGCAAAGCTCAACGTAAGTCATTCCACACAGACATCTGCACAGATGAATCTAAAGCACAGAAGACAATTTGAAAGGCTTCAAAACCTAAATTCCTTGCCAAAAATATTATGGCTACAACTCTAATGTGCAAGAGTCCCATAAGAAGTGACAAAGAGAAGTCAAGTATGATCAAGTTGTCAAAGCCATGCACAATATACCTCAAGTCCTCAGTGCTTTCCTGGATTCCTACAAAGTCACCTTCTTCCCTCTCCCATCACTGGAATCCACAGAAAGAAGAAAATACTACTAACCTCTAATTATTACAAGGTTATGAGTTGGTGTGTGTATGCACTAAGCTTTAATGTTTTGGAGTGATTTACAACATACCAAGAAGCTGCTAGAAGATATATGATGATGTCTGCAACCAAAAACATTGCCTTAAAAAAAAATCTCAACATTTTTCTTCCTGTATATGAAAATGAATTTTAACTTTCTGTTATTTGAGCCTCTCTCATATTCATAAATAGCCTGATTTTCAGATACTGCACATATTTCTCCTAAAAGTATTGAAAATGAGGGGCCTCAGTTTTTTACTGGAAAATGTTGGGTTTGACCAACGCCCATCATTGCACAAAGACGTGAGGGCAAAGGCAATGATACTTTGAACGTACTTATTGCCCAAAGTCTATGAAGGGGAATCCTTGTTAATAGAATATGAATTATTTTATTAAAGATGTACAGAATGCAGTGATGAAATAAAATAAAGCCTTCAGCAATAAATGTATTTAATTTGTTTAAAGGCAATTTATCATGAAATCACAAATCTGTCAAACAGTGAACTCTGCCAAATATACAGTTCTTCAGAAGAACACGTATAAACCAGGCGTATGTCATCTAAGAGCACTGCAGGAAGCCTTCCCAAGGGTACTTTACTCCTGTTCTGTATCTAGCTTCAATTAGCATGACAAATCATTTGAGGGTGGGCAAGATGGGAAGGAAATACTTAGCTGTTTGTTAAATGTCAGCTCTAAATTATGCAGTGAAAGATATTTTTTTCGTTATTATTCACTGTCAAAGTATGGACAGAAATAATTCCAGAAGATAATACGCAGAAGTAGAAAGGAAAAATGCTGCAAGATAAAAGCAAGATTAATAAATATAATGATCGATAGCGCCAGAGATGATTTTCTGAATAATTTTCAATGGACATCTCCCAACAATACAACTGTGATGTGAAGGGAAAGAGAAACAATGGAACTTCCTTGTGCAATCCAAGCCAAGAGAGAAATGATTTAGAATCTATTAAGTCCAGTGACTTTGGAAACAGATCTGTAGAGTACAAATAGGTAACTTGCCACGTTAATAGAAAGATTGCTCCAAGGACAGGGTCCACGTGGCTGGGAAGGAGATGAGTTTATGAGAAAAGTATTCAAGATACAAGCACACCTACCACAAAAAGTTGTACAGCTGCAAGAGCAGAAGCCTAACATTAAGAAGGTAAGAATCTGATTCAGATGAGGAGCTTCAGATTTATATAAACTTCAAACTCTCCATATAAGCTTCAAAATCTCAGAACAAAAAAAAAAAAGAAATAAGAAATGAGCCTATAGAAAACTAGGAATGATCTGACAAACCCATTCCATTGCAGAAAAGCTTGGCACAGTTTGGCTGGCAGGAACACAAGTGCTAAACAGCTCTCAGAGACCTGCGAAATGCTTGTTGCTTTGTATACACTCTAGTGTGCCCACACTTCTGATAATGGGGTACTCTCACTGCTGGAAATTAGGACTCTGCCAGCAGTATATCTTCGTTTACTAAGGATCCAGCAGCATGTGAAGGGAAGACAACCCTTTAAGAAACTCTTTTTCCACAGCTTTCTGAGTGGGTTGCTGTGAGCATTTTTAAGTTCTCATAGGTGTACTGACAGCTCTTACTTTGGTTTGAGAAGGGGGAACTGGAGCAGAGAGTCCTACAGCTATCCTAGTGTAATGGTTGTGCAGGCCCTCTGGCAGCAAACACCACTGGCTCTGAAGACAGAAGGGTTAATTCTCACTGCAACGGCTACAAGTACCGCAGCTTTATATTTTATCAGACAAGGAATTAAAACACAGAGAGAAAAAAACGTGCATAAATTTGCTTTCTTTTCCTTCTACACAAGCCTCAACAGTCCTCACAGCTCACTGTTTATGCCTATTAACCGAAAATGTACCACTTGAAATTTCTTATGCTGTGACTCCAAGTATTCCTTACTCGGTGTTGAAATGCTTCAAAACTTTTTCTGGGATGAAGCATTAATGTTCATTCACAGCAACAAGGCAAGCAAAAACCACCCAGCCCACAGCCCTGGACCACCCTCAAGTGCTACATGGACTACAGAAAACAATTTGTAGCAGATGTGGATAAAGGGCCCTTCTGTTTCCTAATCACAGACCCAGCCAAGGGAATCCTGTGGCTGCTCATCAGAGTCTGTAGCACAGGGCACATCCCAAACTCTACAGAACAGGTAAAATTTCCTAAAGTTTCAGCAGAAATGTTACCCAAGGAAGAAGCATGGGTCAAACCCAGTAGATGTGCACGGAGTCCTTTTAACATTAGATTTACTCTAAAGTAAGAGTTTGACATAGCCCAAATGCTCTACATGGCAATAATGCTTTACTGTTCCTGTACCATTCACTGTCCAGCCTTGTACGAGAAAAGAGAGTACAAAAACTGTGCTACAGCAGAGTATAAATGTGCATGAAATCACATGATTTATACACAATTGTGAAGAAAATAAAAAGTTAAAAAAAAAAAAAAGACAAAAAAACTCTTAGCATACCAGGTTTGGGATTTGAAATCTTTTTTGGTAGATGAAAAAGAGGCACATGATTTCATCCTGAGGCTAGGCAGGGACACAGCGATGCCAGCTCCGAATGCAGCAGTTACTCACCATTGTCAGGCGAGGTGCTCAACTCCGTGTCTGCTAGGTTAGAAGGCACTAGTCTCAATAAAGGCTCTCTGAATCAAATGACAACTAAGCGGTTTGGAGGCAAATATATATCTATCTCAAGGTTTAACCTACTCCCCAGGCTTAGGGAAACCCCTTTCTTAAAGTCATTCTAACGGTGGGGACGCATTCATATCTCACAAATAAACACAGCCCACGCAGCTCTACTTGAAAGCAGTGCTTGCAGGAGACCACAGAGGATTCCCTCTCGCTCTTCAGATTACCATGGAACAGTGACACAATGGTACGCCCACTCACCAGCGAGAGGCATGCGGTGGGAAAAGCAGCGGTCTAGCACGGTGGAAAAGTTGTATCAGCTCAAAAGGTATATAGCACCAGTATTAATCTAGAAGCAGAATAATTTACTGTAAGGAGGAGATAGGTCAGGGACCCATTTCTAGGAATGCATTTTAATTAGAATTTATTCTAAAGGTTTCCCTGCAGAAACAGCACTCAGTGTAGCCAGCCGCAGGCTCCCCATCAGCAGTGACATTCAGCTCTCTCCCCAGCCAACAAGCACCACGTTCATTATCGTATCTGATTTTCTCGCTGAGGAAGAGGGCGTAGAGAGGTGGAGACTGCACAAACGTCTTCCCCTCCGCCCAGACAAGAAGTGATGTAGCATTTTCAGGAGCACACTATTCATTTCAGAGTGTAGCCTGCACCTAGGAGCTCATTAATCAAGTTTCACAGATGATAAAAATTAACACTGTCATTTTGTTACCTAGAAATGAAAGATTCATTATAAGTATGTTCAGAAAAGGTTATCTTTAAGAATGACTTGTATTGGTTTCAATTTTTATGACAACAAAACCTGCGCAGCCATGCACCAGGGAGGGGATACCTTTCTAGCATTTTTAGGAGGCTGCTGTTGTCTTCTGCACTGGAGATACCAGTGATTTAACTGCCCTGGAAGCATTTTTGTCCTCCTAGCAGGAATATCACAGTTTCTCAGAAAAGTAGGGTATATCTTTCTCTGTCAAACCATTTACCCTCTGCCTCTCACATGCACACACACAATAATCATTTGCAAATTCGTGTCCAATTCCCTGATGATACAAAACTATTTGCAGCAGGCATTTGCAGCTACAGCAGAGGAGAACAACAGGCCAGGGTCAGGATGTGGGAGACCAAGGCTCAACTCCTTCTCCTGCCTGAAGGGAGTTCAACTGTGTTTGCATCTCCTGGGCAAGTGTTTTAACTGCTGGAGTTAGAGCAACTTCTCTATTCTTTTGCAGTAACAGTCTTAACTGTGTGTGAAGTATTTGCTGTTGCTTTGTTGGGGAAAATGTTAATGGCTTTAGCTTGACGGTTCAGACTTTCAGATTTCTGCCAGAGTTCTGATTTACTGTCTATCTGGTCCAAAAAAAAAATTTAAAAAAGCTCAAACATCTTCATCCTCTCAGAACAGCAGCCTACTCACTCAGCTTTACATCAGCACACTTTTTCTTGCTCTGATCACTGGTTTAGTTATATATAAGTGCTTATAAAAAGCAGAACAGCTTCCTCAGGGGAGGTTGAAAGCAACCCACCAGCAAAAGCTCAGTAGCAAGCTGTTAGAGCACTATCTTTGAGACAAATGATGTGTACCCAGATCCTTCCAAGCAGCAAAAGAAATTGAAGCCAAGAGATACGCATCTGAGGGGAAATGCTTCTTCCACCAGCTAATGAAGTAACAAGGGAATAACATCTCTTCTTCCTCAGTAATGCCTTCAAAAAAAAAAAATACAGCAGATCTAGCCTTCTATGTTTTTTGGCTTTTTCTGCACTAAAACACAGCTTTTGACTTTGGACCGACCAACATGCTTAATTGCTATGGGACTGGAAATAGTTCAGCGGGTTGTTGTTGTCAGTTTGTTGACATCTGTCAGCTAAGCAACAATGATAGAGCTAAATTAAGTCTTTCCATGTGTACTGTTCCTGCATTTAATATCCATCACCTGTTCAACTGCACTGCTGTGGTTCCTTCCAGGGAGACCAGGAGTAATCAGATTTCTTCTAGTCCAGGACCAGGTAAAGCTGGGACAGTTAAGCCTTTAAGATCAGGTGCCTTCTTATCTGGAAGGTGGGAAAAAAAAAAAAAAAAAAAGAGGCAGACAAAGATGCCATTCCTCGAAGAAAATGTTTACAAACATTTCTAAGTCATTCCAAAGAATCCAAGATGAAAACATGGGCTCTTCCTATCATGTTAATGCCAGTTTAGCAGCCACCTTGCCTCAGAGAGTCATATTGTTTCATTGTGAACTCTGAATAAACACTAGTGGCATGAACATCATGCTATTTTCACCACCACAAGGTAGGCACAACAAAAAGTTTTGTGGAGGCAGAGAAAAATAGACAATGGAAAAAATTGAAGGGGGAACCCTTTCTCTTAACCTCCAGTGGAAAATTGTGGGGGTAAAGCAGAAATCACACATGCATCTTTTTACCTGACCTCCCTGCTCCCCCATTCAGAAGAGGAAAGCCCCTTTGGCTACACCATAACGTGCCTGAATAATAAAAAATTCATTGCTTCTCATGCATACCCAAGCCACTTATCTATAGAAAGACCATATTGGATGGCTGCCATTCAAATTATTTTATTGTCCACTAAAGAACTATTCGTGTAAGGGCTTTCCATATGGGAAAAATAAGGAAATGAGTTAGAGAAAATTTAATATAATGTAAAGACAGCAGCTTAAAGTACCGGATCCTAGGTGACTTGTAAAGGGCTTAATTGCCATGTAAGTATTATTGAGAAAAGATCACTACAAGGAAGAACAGAGATTGGAAAAAGAAAAATAATCGAAGTGCTTAAACCAGTTTAGGACTCCGCTATTCTGGAAAGGAAGCTGAAGACAGATCTGCTGTACAGGAAGCTTCTGAGACTTAGTTTTTAAGTTTATACTTTGATACCACACTTAGGGCATTAAGAATTCATTTTGCCGAACAAAGGCAGCCTGCTATTGTCGACATCAATGTTGCTCACTGGCTGTCTACAGATGTCCTCCTCTTTTTGGTGCATGAATAAGAACCACTCCCACGCACTTACATTTTTGTCAAGCTAAAACACTCTTCCGCTTCACTCACAGAAATAGATTGGTCGCTATCATCATTTTTGTCTATTTTTTAAACAGACTCAGGTGCCCCAAATCAAGAAGTAGGAACACAAGGCAGTCAGTCCTAGCTGTCATTTTCTTGATGAAAACTCAGTTAATGGTGTGGGTGCATCTTGTCCACACTTGATACAGAGTTGAAATACACTTTTGTGCTCACAGAAGTGACCTTCCTGGAGAGGAACATACTGCTACCCAGTTCTAACCTAAATGTTAGTGAACAGCTCTGATTTAGGTTTGGACTCTGTAGGGTTTTGCCTGAGATGTACAAGAAGTCAGAGCACTTCCCACCCGCTCTGTTCCTGCTCCCTGTGTGGTTTCCTGCTTAGCCACAAAAGAAAGACCACCCACAACAAATTCTCCCTTCCTTATGGGAAAACTGGAAAGCCCACAGCTACTTTATGAGGTCTTGGATGGTGATTCAATCAATTCTTCATTATTAGTCAAATATATTTTTATGGATTTTCACTATTTCACTGGATTTTCATGAAGATGTTCATGAGGTTGATATGTTGGCAAGGTAAGGAGAGACAATAACAATGGTCTCACCTCCATCCAACCACACAGCTCTTTATAAGTAGATTGCCACGTCAGATTTTGATGAAGATGGATATCTCATCCCCAAGTCATCACCCTCCTCCAATATCTTTCCTATAAATTTCCACTGCAAGTGTACAGCCTGGTCCTTTTTGAAATCAGTTGGTATGCTTCCATGTTTTTCCAATGGACCTGGTCTTTCACCTCCACCTCTATAACACAGAGAACAGTAGCCAGAAATTGAAAACAAGCTTTAAAGCAGGCCAGGAACAAGTTCCAGCAAAGCATTACTTCCCTGACATTTGTCAGTTCCATGACGTTTAAGTACAGAGTTTAGCATCAGGGAAGTTTGAATACAAATCCCTTTTTCTGGCCAAAATGTCTGCCTTGTTCCCCAGCTGGTTGTCCACCCATTGGCTTCAGCCATTGTGGTTTTTCTTACTGAAATATTGCAGTGTTTAAATTTTGTCCTGAAGTGGAATTAAACCTGATTTTAGGCAATGTCTGAATGCTCCATGAAAGAAATTTCTCAGTCTACATAAGCTTCAGAAAGCTTTCTTTCCTAATCACGCAGAGTTTAACCTGCTTGCCAACTAACGAGAGAAAAATTAACTCTGACGCCATAATAAGTTTCCCACACTATACAACACTGAAGTTTCATCTACTGGTTTGTTGGAAACATGACTTTACCCCACAGGGACCATTAGGTGTCTTTTGGATGAGACAGAGTGTTTGCTTCCAGATTCAAGGGCTGCCAAAAACGGTAAGTTTACCTGAAACATTGGACACCTCCACAGTAAAGGCCAAGGATAGACTGCAAGACATTCAAGACTGAGCTGGATTGTGGAAAAAAATTAAGGAGTGTCACAAACACTATTGCTGCCCACCCTAAGGGTAAGGCACACTCTCATTATGCTATGTCATGTTTCTAAAATAGATCATACAAAAGTGTTTTAAAATGACTAAAAAATGCGAGAAGAGAAGAGAAGAGAAGAGAAGAGAAGAGAAGAGAAGAGAAGAGAAGAGAAGAGAAGAGAAGAGAAGAGAAGAGAAGAGAAGAGAAGAGAAGAGAAGAGAAGAGAAGAGAAGAGAAGAGAAGAGAAGAGAAGAGAAGAGAAGAGAAGAGAAGAGAAGAGAAGAGAAGAGAAGAGAAGAGAAGAGAGAGAAGAGAAGAGAAGAGAAGAGAAGAGAAGAGAAGAGAAGAGAAGAGAAGAGAAGAGAAGAGAAGAGAAGAGAAGAGAAGAGAAGAGAAGAGAAGAGAAG